CAGATAAAACCTATCGATAAACCAAACATTACCTGTGACATACCTGTGACTCTGACTCAATAACCATTTAGAGGAACTATTTCCATTTATTCAGGACAAAATTATTCACATACTTGTATTATATTAATCTGTACTTATAATATTCACCACTCTTTGTCGCCATTTCCCTTTTTCCTCTGAGCACAGAGTGGCCAGCTTGCTTGCTATGAGGGAAACAGTGGACCAGTCCTTCCAAATGGGTGAAAAGATGGCTGCATTTGTGGGCTGCATACGAAGGAGTCTTCCAATCTGAAAAGGCCATGGTGCCGTGCTATGATGTAATAGGCCAGCGAATCTGGCCTTTGCAGGACACTGCCGCTGAATGCGAACACAGCCACAGTCATTGTTAAAAAGGGGAAAGGGCACAGCCATAATGTTTTTGCAGACCATGTGGTCCGCTGCATTCAATGCAGCCAGTAGGAAGAGCAATGCGAAATATTCATCCTTCCGAGTAAATACTTTTGTTTTTTGTTTTTTTTACATCCTTTAGTGTTTCTGGTATCTCTAAAATTATAATTGTTTCAACAGTTGAATGCTTAAGATTCCTGGACAGATTACTTTAAAGGGCAAGCTTTCTTTGAGGCAAACCCCTCTGGAAAGTTCCTGCATTTATACAATAGTATTCTCACCACAGATGAAATTCCTCAGGGCATGTTGGTTTCTGTTTTGGAGATGTTGTATGGCTTGTTGTGTGGTTGCAGCAAGCTCAGCTGTTTGTCAAATGTGCGAGGCAGTGCTCAGACGCTACTTTTAGCCCTGCATCCAGTGATAACTCTGTCACCTGCGCCGCTGCCCTGGTAACAGTCATCATACACAATGACAAAGTCTGCCATAAACATCTGAAAACATGAGGAAGATTTCTGTGTTCGCCTCAGAATCCTCTGCAACCCAGCCATGCACTTCCCATTGAAGACTGAATAACCAGGTTAGAGGGACTGTGGTTCTGCTTGGCTAATGTCGACAGCTGCTCTGCTTCAACGGTCATGAATATTTGTTCCTAAGAACAACAGGAAATGAGAACACAAAAACATGACTCATGTATTACCCATTAGTAAAAGAGTGATAATGATCATCTTAAATAACAACAAGAGGAAAAGCTGTATTTATTTTCAGTATTGTGGTAGTTATTGATTAATCTGCGGGTGGAGAAAACTGAAAACTTAAAATTCTCTGATATCATGGTGAAACAACTTTATACCATCTATACAATAAGATTATTATGTGTTTTCAATATGGCTGTCAGTAGTAGAAAATGTCTGGTTAGTGATATTATTAAGATTCTTCAGGCTTTTAAAAAGTGACATCAAACCATTCTTGCGATTTAAAGTTAATCCAATAAAATGTGGAAGAAACTTTGTTGTTTATTAGCATTTTCAATGGGGAGCATAAAGTAATACCAGCTGCCAATCCCCCACTTAATGCTACACTTGTCTTGTCAGCTCTGAAATGTCCCCCCTGCTTTAATAAAGTGTGCTATATTGTTGGCAGTATGTGTGAAAAATGAAAACAAAATAACTGCTTACCTTCTATTCAGAGTCCAAAAGCATGAATGTTGATTAAATACGGATGGTAGCTTAATTACAGGATTAAACATATGTGGTTGTCTCATGTGTCCCTATGTGACGGACAGGAGAACGGTCATTGTTTGGGCCTCCCTCAGTGGTAGCTGCAGTTGGGCTTTAAATTTAGTGATCTGTTGTATTTAAGAGTAGAGTAGCAAGCTTTTATTTTGATCTGAACCTCAACGAGCTGAGCATGTCCTGAAACTGAATAATCTACTGGGAGCTTTCAGTGCCTGCATCCTTCTTGGGTTTTGTTTTGTTTTTTCCTCTGATGGTTCACCCTTTAGCAAGTTAGTTCTTTTTCCTTTCAAAGTTTCACACATGCATTCATTTCCTGCCATCATCCTCTGCTTCTTGCGAGTCTAAATTGCCATTGATCAGCTTGAATGAACAGCTATTAGTTCTCTAGAGGTTTACTAGCTAAGAGGGGTTGATGTGTTCAGCCATTTTAGACTCTGTCTGTCCATCTCAGGTGAAAGGGGAAAGCTTTTAGTCCCCATCTGCTGCTCGGAGACCTCCTAACAGCTAATTAGGGAGGTGTTTTTTTTAAGCTTTCCTACTTGGATTATAAGACCCCATGTTGTTCGCTGTAGCAGAAAATGTCTGCCAGCTATAACCAGCTGAGGGATGCTGTCTGGATGGCAGGATGTGGTTAGTTAACTGCTACCTACCTTGCCTTCAAATGGAGAGCTCCTGTGGAGTGTTCCACGTATTCCCACTCCCAATTTTGAACAGGATCTATTGATGCAGCGCAGGTTCTATCCAAGGGAAAAATAACTTTTCTTGTGGCTTATATTGGCTCTCGGTAGCTTTTCCTCTCATAACCTGGATATATTTTTTTTAGCCTGGAATAAAATATGTTTCAATTTTAGTTCCTTATACCCGGATCTGCTAAAGTTATTAAAAAAAACAATGAGTTGTGCAGACTTGTAAGAAGTAAACAATGCAATTCAGGGATTTGCACCTGGAAACTTTTGTTTTTATTAGTGATTTTGTTATAATACGATTTCTAAAAGCTTTAACAAAGCTTTGGATTCATGAAATTTCCTATTACTTATGGGATCTGACCTTATAAGTGGCTTAATGTCTTAGCTACAAATCCTGCAGCTTTTCAGAACAAGCTTTCTCATATGTTTAGAGTGTTAAAATGGCTATAAGCCTGAAATCAAAGCTAGAATATATGGTAATTGTTCATAAATCCGCATTTAAATCATTTTCCTGCGATTGGTGATAAGGAATGCTTGAGAGAAGAGAGAAAAAGGGAACACAGCGTGCCGCATCCTCTCCCCCCTTCTTTGCCAAGTTGAAGTTGTTATGGCAACCAGAGTCTGATCCTATACCTGTTGCCATGGCTGAGAGGAACAGATTTATGACGTTGTTTATGAGGCAGCAAAAATGCTTCTTCCATCTCATGCTCGGAGTGTAACTGAAATGTAGTGGTGTTTACCGCGGACCCCTGGCTTCATTCCCTCAAAGGCTGGTGGCATCCTGGTTCCACTTTGAGCTATAGAATATATACCTACCTGCTGGTGGTGTGGAATGCTGTGAAAGAACATTGCCAAAAATTAAAACAACCGCAAATTATGCGGTTGTTTTAATTTTCTTTTAGACTCTAGGCCTTTGCCTCACTTCCTCTTAAATGATTGGATGCAACAATCTGGCCTCACAAGGATGATTACTTGTTAAAGCAAAGTCATCCTGCAACTATTCTAATTTTTATTTTATTTTTTTATAAATTTATTACAAAAATCACCCTTTTATAAAATGTTATTAAGGAACTTGACTGAGCCAGCGGTCAGCAAATGCTTTGTCCTGCTGGAATGGAGTTATATCCTACCGTGTGGTTTCACCATGCGGCTGTCACTAAAGTCCCAATATCTTGTGGTTTGTATTGCAGTGCCAGGATGCCCGCTCATTAATAGTACTTTAAATTGTTCCAGGAAGAGGGTAATAGGGTCATCAGTAACCTGACCTCCCCCCTTGATTTCTTCACGCCGACTCTCCAGTTTCTCTCCAGAGGCAGGTCAGAGGTGAAAATGGGCTTTATATAGCCAGCCATCTCTCTGTATCCTCTTCCAGTACCCAATATGGAAGCAGCCGCCATGCACCTCAACCTGAAGTCTGCAGGGCATAGAAGCAATTGCATTGTTTTAACTCGAAGATGGCTTGTTGAGGTGCAGTAGAGATGTTTGTATAATGATCACACTTTGAGTGCAAAGCAGTTCAGAGGACATGCAGTGCCTCTCTGTCAGCATGATGTGACCCATGGAGGGCGATATGCAATCCCTGTCTCTCCTCTTCTCCTGCATTATTGATAAGTGTGCTGAAATTCTCTGAGCATGTCGGGCACTCTGCAGGCGACATTTTGATGCAAAAGCCTCTCAAGCAGCCTGATGTGAAGGAGCAAAAGCGGCTTGAATTTGCCCATCATTACAGAACACAATTAAATATAACAAAGATAATTACAGCTGTGGAGCTGCTGCAACAGACTTGATCAGCATATGCAGCTTTACTGTACATCAGTACTTCTGATGATAACAGTTTGGGTTATTTCTTTAAATATCCTACAAACGAGTCTCCATCTGTGTTTACGTCAAACTTACACTCTTAGAGCTAGGACATTTGTTCTGTTGGTACCAGTCAGCCTGGATGGGGTGATGAAATACCAGGCATAGCAGCAGATTCTTTCCCATAAAGAAATGTTTGACCCCAGGGATCAGCTTGGCTGTGTGGATCCGCTGTCAGCACATTTAAAGCAGATGAAATGTTGCAGAAGATGTTGCATAATGGTACCAGACCCAATCCTTATTTTGTTTGTTTGTTTTCAGGCCTGTTTAGAGATGAAAGGCCAGGGCCTTGGTTATACCCAGAACATTTTAAGTTCTCTGAAAAAGGGGGGAAATGGATGTAATGTGTCACTGACTCGTGACTTTAAGGTCCAAAGATATCCTTCTTGTTTCTTGTGATTCAAAAACTGCAAGTTGACTGGTTTTTGCCATAAGGCCTTAAAATTAGCACTGAATGAAATTTTAGACATTTCCTGATCAGGCTTTTCTGCCTCAGCGTTTTTCTGCCCTTCATTTGAGCTCTGACCTAAAGGTTCAGACTAAAAACAAAAATATTAAACTGTTCAGTTTTGAAACTAACAAAAAATAAGCAGTAAACTGGTGTATTAATTCATATCACTTGCATGTATCATTTAATCTTTAAGGGTAAAGAGGTGAACATACTGTCATCTGATCTACATTAATTCAACATTTGAATGCATTGTGTGAAATGTCTTTATTTTTGCTGATCACACATTTTACGAAAGTTTTTTTTTTCCCTCATTGTGTTTTGCTGCCTAAACTGTTGGTGATGTTTTAAGCTAATATCTTACTTTCCACACTTTCTCCACAGCTATCCTCAATCCCAAAGCCCCCAAAGAACCTCCAAAAACATTTAGTTTTGATTACTCCTACTGGTCACACACCACGGTGAGTAGACCTTCAGAAACTTTATATGTAGAATTCATGGTTGGCCTTAGAAACCACGCTTGCATATCCTAATAACTGTTTTCTCGTCCGACAGCCAGAGGACCCCTGCTTTGCATCGCAGAACCGTGTGTACAAGGACATTGGGAAGGAAATGCTGGAGCATGCCTTTGAGGGCTACAACGTCTGCATATTTGCTTACGGCCAGACTGGAGCTGGCAAATCCTACACTATGATGGGCAAACAGGAGGAGGGACAGGAAGGCATCATTCCCATGGTTTGTATGATTCACTGTTGAAAATCTGTTGCTTCATGGGGAGTTAAGCAGTTTTGTATCTCTAGAAAACAAATGACATGTCTTCTAACTGTAATGGGTTATTATTAACACAGCCTTAAGGCATTTATGTTACTTTTATGTTACTCTATGGATATGGATATTCTTATCTATTTCTGCTGCTCCACACTCTACTTTTTTCTCAACCTGTTAAATTCTTTCTGCATTTTTTTTAAAATGAATTAACCATAAGAGCTTTTTAAATAATAAAGGAGTCATTTTATAATATAAAAACAGCTCTGCAATTTGAAAAAAAAGGGTCTATATTTATGAAGCCTCTAGTTTAATTGTTACGTAATAGGATAGATTTTACATGACTGGCTTGATAAGCAATATTGGCTCTTTTTTTTTGTTGCTGTGTTTGTCTCTTTATGAATATGGAGCTAAAATCGTCTTTTTTCTTTGCTTTTCAGCTTTGTGAAGATCTGTTTGAGAAAATCAATGAAGACTGCAACAAAGAGGAGCTCTCCTACTCAGTAGAGGTATATTTTATACAGGGAGACTGCCATTAGAAATCCTTAATGTTAAAATGTTATCTTTCTTCTAATAACTCTTCAGTGACCATTGATATGTCATATATCAAACAGATGAAGACAAGCTTCATATATGCTTGTCCTTAGGCTTTATTTTAGCAATGCATTGATCTGGTTTTGGACAGATTTCCAGTATCTGGACATTTTTTTCCCAAATATTTTTCTTATTCTTTTTTTGCAATCCTACAATCCTACACTTTACTTTTTTTACTCCTGTTTTTCAAATTAAAGTTTCAAAACAGCTGACAATTAGCGATTAGTTTGCTTAGCATTACTAGCAGTAAACAGCAGCCTCTGAATTCTGCATGAAGCTTCATCCGTACCTTAACTTTGAGATGAATCCAGCATGTTTCACTGCTAATAGATGACACCTCAGTGGAATAAAGCTGAAACTTTGTCTTATTCTGGTATTTGCTGAAGTCAGACTCTGTTTAAAAGCAGCTGCCAGAATTAACATTAAAAGTAAAGGTTTCCCTTTAAAAAAATAGCCACTGATAACTGACTTAATTTTCAAGCAACCTACTGATATTGAAAATAAGTTTTTGGTCTGTCAGGTTGAACTTTCATATTAAACTGTACCTGCTGGAGTCTCCTGGTAGGGTGGAATAGGATGTATTGACTCTTCTGCTCTTATCTACCTGCATTCCTTAAGAGCTGCTAATATATGTTAGATTCACTGAGCTGTAAAAGTGTGCTTCCACCAATAAATTATACTTGCTGTTTAAATCATTTTCAGGTGAGTTACATGGAGATCTACTGTGAAAGGGTGAGAGATTTGCTCAATCCTAAGAACAAAGGGAACCTGAGGGTACGAGAGCATCCGCTGCTAGGTCCCTACGTGGAGGACCTGTCCAAGCTAGCGGTCACATCCTACACAGACATCGCTGATTTAATGGATGCAGGAAACAAAGCAAGGTGAGTCAAGCAGTCATCTCTAGGTATGAATGAGCTGAAGAAGAGAGAACAAACAAGGATTATGAGAACAATAACTTTGTGCTGATTATTGATAAGAACTTGTGTATTTCTATCATCTGTAATTATAGAATCAACAGTTTAATTTCTTTTCACTGTTTCATTTTGCACATGAAACAGTAAGAGAAGATGAAATACCAGGATGATTTGCTGTGTGTTAGAAAAGCTACCCTGCTTTAATCTCTCTGTGCTGACTCAGAGGGCTTATTTCTAGAACGTGGCGTATAAAGCCAGTGTCTCCCCCATGGCCATCCCTCTGAGAGAGCCTCGTACACTCTGTCTGCCGTCCTTTCAGTATTATCCCCATCCGCGGCACAAACTAATCCCTTGGACTGGATTCACCTTAATAGGTGTAAAACCCTGGGTTGATTGTACACGTAACACCCAAGACATTTTATACAGCATTTTTCAATGATTTAGTTTGGGACAAAGGTGTGTAGGAAATCAAATTATGTCCATTTTACAATGTTATTTAACTACCTATGCCCCTGTGTGCCTTTTATACAGAACGGTTGCTGCTACAAACATGAATGAGACCAGCAGCAGGTCTCATGCCGTTTTTACCATCGTCTTCACGCAGAAGAAACATGACAGTGAGACGGACCTCACCACAGAAAAGGTCAGGTTGTTGGTCCCTCTAAAAGGAATGTGACTGAAGCCTCTTTAAACATTTACTTTACATTTAAAGTTTTTTAGTTTCCAGGATATTATTAGTAAATCAGACCTTTTTTTTCCCGAGGTATAATGATTTAACTGACTAACAGGGCCATTCCCAAAAAAATAGAACCTTCCATTTGCAGGATTTTCTAATTGATTTCAGTTGAGATGTTAGGAAATTGAATCTATCTACTAGTATGTGTCCTGCTCTTTTGCTGAAAACTGCATTAGCCATTTTTGTTTGTGTGCAAGAGGCCCACTAGCTGCATTTACGCCACAGAGGAAGAATGGGCTATCCTGAAAAATCACCCGCTACACACTATTTCATGTTATCGATTATTAGCCTGGCTAGACAGACCGACTTGCATGGATGTAAGTCAGTCTGGTAAGGCTCTAAAATAGACCAGACCACAGCTCAGGAGGCGGAAGTTTACATGTGTGCCAGAATTACCCATAATGCCGAAGCTATTTCTCTAACCATAACTGTTAATATCTCACTACAGTGGAGCAATATTTTCATGATGCACTTTGTCGCATCCCAAATGAGCTGGATACATCTTTAAGAATTCAATAACTGGCTGCATTAAGAGCTTATTTAAATGAAAAAATAAAAAAAGGTTTTCCTCACCATCCATAGTTATCCTATTATTTAACCTGTTGAATGATTCCATTAGTCCAGCCAATGAATGCTATTAGCTGGCCAAGCTGATTGGATGTGTGATGCTGTGGGCCTTTTTGCTCTCCAAAATACCACAAACTTTGATAGCATGCATGGCATCATGAAATAAAAGCATATTTTTGCTTAACATTTAGAGAAATTAGGATCATCCTATTGTTTACCAGCAGAAAGACAATAAAAATATTTTTCCCCCAAACAAAAGAAAGGATTCCCCACATGAGAAGCGATCTTTCAAAATGGCCATTTTACTCCATAGAGCTGAACTCTTTTGAAATCCTTTCAGGTGAGCTGAATAGAAGAGGAATTTCAAGAAAACCTTGAACCTTTAGTAAAGGCTAACATGTCTCTCTATTTGCTAACTTCTATCCAACTGAAAAAATAAAGAGTGTGGCAAATTGGGATACATCTTGTTTAGACAAAAAATAAATTTTTGGGAGAAAAAAAAAGAAATTAAGAAAAGTCCCAAACTGTTGTGAAAATGGTTTAAATTTGTCCTGAATGGAGAAGGTGGGGGAACAGAGCCATTTTACATACGACTTCCAGCGTTTCCTCTGACGCTGTGAAGAAACAAAGATCACAGTTTATTTTGAAAACAATGGCTATTGTTTCCAGTGGCTCTCGTCTGTTATTTTTAATTATTACTGCCAGGCTATATCTCGCTTAAAATGAATTCATAACTGTTGGCTCTTTTCTGCATAGATTTGAATGTTTTAGGTTTTCACTGAGGTACTGTTCTATTTTTATTGGAGAAATATCTTAATATTTAAAGGACATTTTTAAGGATAAGGATGTTTGCATATTAGAGTGGTTGTTAAATTGAAGAATTGATTAACAACTTGAACTTTTAGGCGTATATTACACCTAACAGGGGTAGATTAGAGCAATCCTTTTTCTTTTAAAGTTATGTATAATATGTTTCTGAATGTGACATCACTGACTAAGTAACGTAAATAAGAAAAATAATACCATGTGTTAATTATGTGATAATAACTAAGCAGAATAGAGGTATATTTCTTGTTGATCCTCATTATCAAAATATTTGGAGACATCTTTGTCTTCAGCTGTTCTTATATCATTTAACTTCCCTTAATGCAAATGCAATTTATTATTTAAGGTCTGGGCATCTTATAGATTTGCTCTCTCTCCTTAGGTCAGTAAAATTAGTCTGGTAGACTTGGCAGGAAGTGAGCGTGCAGATTCCACTGGAGCTAAAGGTACCAGACTAAAGGTAGGGGGCTCATCTGCACAGATTTTCTGCAATTAGAAGCCTATGATCTGATCTTATTTAATGTTTGATATATGATTGCAGGAGGGAGCAAACATCAACAAATCTCTTACTACTTTAGGGAAGGTCATCTCTGCCTTGGCTGAAGTGGTAAGTCCCTTATGCCTGATTGCATTTCCTGCTGTTTCTTTCCTTCTTTACATCCTTTCTTTCCCTCTTGACCGTGACCCTGCCTACTTAAAGGCTTGCTGTTTGCAGCCTGGCATGCTGTAACTTCTGCCCTTCTGTTTTCTCTCCTCTTGTCCTTGTAATGCCTGCTTACACAGGATAACTGTACCAGCAAGGTAAACACTTTGACAGCTAAAGCACTCAATCATTACTGTACTAGGTGTTAAAGTTGACTCCATTTTATCAGCTTTTATACCGTGCTTTTAGGTAATATGGACAATTACGCCTACAGGCCCCAAGAAAATCTCTCTGCTTATATTACCATTTACAGCAGGTTCTTCCTGTAGTGCTGAAAACAAAAGCTTTGCATCATTTTGTTGCAGTTTTCAATTGAGCAGTTTTGTTCCTTTGCAGAGCAAGAAAAAGAAAAAGACAGACTTCATCCCTTACAGAGACTCTGTCCTGACCTGGCTGCTGAGGGAAAACCTCGGTATGAACCCTGATGACACTTGATAAATATGCTTGTCTGACTGAATCGCCATCTTTGAGGTGTTCAGTGAGGTATTTATTTTTGCATAGTAAGTGATCCATTTGTGTAATGGAAAATAAAGCAGCAGTATAAAAATGACTGGAGCAAGTGTGCATTACCCTCAGCCAATTTAAGAAGAACCCTGTCAGCAGACTGTATTTCAAACTAACAAGACGAGAGGATACTTCTATCTTCGGATTAGTGCAGGCAGTATATCTTTAGCACTTCCTTGATGCAGTATGTTTTCTTAATTCAGTTTTGTTAAAGGCAAATATTGCATTTGGGAATAAAGTTGATATTCTGTAATGCAAAAGTATAAAAAATTGTCATCCTTCCTGACCTCCTTGTTTCTAGGTGGAAACTCCAGAACAGCCATGGTAGCTGCCCTCAGTCCTGCAGATATCAACTATGATGAAACCCTCAGTACACTGCGGTAGGGTCTTGAGGTTTATTTTCTCAGAATGAAAGCATGTGTATGATTTCAAGCCTGACTAAAAGCCTGTTTCTTTTTTTTTTTAAATATATATAGCTATGCTGACCGAGCCAAGAACATCAAATGTAACGCCGTTATCAATGAGGATCCCAATAACAAGTTGGTGCGTGATCTGAAGGACGAAGTGGCTCGACTAAAGGAGCTGCTCCGCGCCCAGGGCCTTGGAGACATCCTGGACAGTGAGTGTGCAGCCAGTTCAGTCAGGGCATTCTTTAAGCTGACACCAACTTTCTTTATCAGTACTGCCTCAAAGCTCTATGCTATTTAAGTTTCTTCCTATCCAAGTTCTTGAACATGTCCGTAATCCAAAATATTCTTATAAGATATTAGTTTTTCTGTTCTCTATATATTCAGTATTTTTATTTCAATTCAAGCTCTAATTTATTGAACATACTTTCCACTGCTGGGCCTGACGCGACGTAAACCAGATTGAAATGCCACCCTTCATTAGCTAAATACAAGAGTAATGGCTCCCCTCCCTGTCAATTAGAAAAAGCCACCAGTGTTGGCATGAATAATTACAAGTGTTGCGATCTATATGTTCAAATAGTTGAACTGATTAACAAGCTGCCTACTTGCTGATGTTTCCTAATGTCATGCAGCTTAACCAGTCAGTCTATGACCTTGTATCTCATCCTTGTTATCTTTTATATTAAGCTCTCCGAGATATTTCTCTTAGTTATCTCTCTCATACTACTAGCACTGACTTCTGATCCTTCTCATCTTTTCCTGCTCCTCTTAGTTGATCCAATGGGGGATGATTACCCAGGAAGTGGAATCAAATGTGTGTATACGTGTGCTAGTTATGCTTTGTGTATTTTTACTGCTTAAACTCTGAAGGCTAATTGCTTAGGACCCCCACTGCTCATATATTAAATCTTCTGCCAGCTTTGCATGTATTTGCTTAAAAGCCAGGAATGGCTTAAGAAATAAGACTCTGAAATGCAAGGCTTTTGTAGGTGGATTTTGGCAAGGGTTAGCATGCAATTAGGTTAGCATGCTTTGCGCTTGCTCTTCTGTTAATTTTAGACTGATGGGGGTGAGGCAGCTTTTTTTCTGGCTGGTTTCAATCCAACTATTTTTTTAAAAAATCAACCTTTAGAAAAGAATAGTGTTACATCGGTCTCCCCCACCCCCAGAGCCCATGGATCATTGTATAATCATGTCTCATCTTGTCTCACTCACTGTCTGAAGCTTCTGTTTTTGTGGCCAGTGGCTCTTGCTGCTTTTTTATCCTGTTTTCTTTCACTAATCATCCATCGCAGGTGACAGTGCTCAAAGCTTTAGAATGCCTCTTCTGAGTTCTCAAAGTGAGACTCAGATCTACAGATCAAAAGGTGCATATATATATTCATTTATTTTGCAAGTAGCTGCTTCAGGAGTGTGTATGTATATGGAGTTGACTAACATAGTGTGCTTCAATAGTTTTGATAATTTTGTAGTGCACCCTTTGCTTACGTTACTGCCCACTAGTCCCTGTAAGTTTCAGAAGTATTCACTTACCTGCTCTTTGTGCTTAAAGATGGCATTTATTTCTCAGTGTAATAACAATATACTAATTTTTGTTCTTTTGTAGGAAAATCCTATTAACTTATAGATGATTTCTGAGGTAGCATATAAGCTAAACAATTTTAGCTTAAGCTAATGAGAGTTTTAGCTATACAATTTCAACTCTTTACTAATTTTTTCCCCCAATCTGATTTAATGTTAAGCCCATGGATAGGGTAGCTATTGCTGTTCTAAATGGCTTAAAAAAAAGGTTTTTTGAACTTCTAATAATTAATGCCCCTGTAGTTTCCAGCAAGCTAGCTACGCTAATATTAGCTCTGTTAGTGGCTAGCTGCTAATGGTGTGCGGGGTAAAAAGAAAAATTCTTGAATTGTTTTATTTTTGATTGTAAAACATCTCAAGCTAAAGCCATTGTATATTAGATAACTGATCCCTCTATAAAAAAAAATATAGGAAGACAAGTTTTGTTCATTATCAACGAATTGAACAACTAATTATGATTATTAAAATAAGCAGCAATGTAATAATCAATTTAAGAGTACAGAATACAGTATAAATGTCCTGTTTAGGAACAATCCATGAGTAATTATGCCAAAATTGCATTTAAAACATTTATGCGTTTTAAAGATTAAAAACCTTCTTGGTCTGCAAAAATGTTTAGCCTTATCTACAAACAAATTCTGTTATAAAGCATTTATAAATGGTTAGATGCATCCCTAGTGTGTTAATATTTTTACTATACTTGGAAGACTTAAACTGAAGCCAGTATAGATATAAAGACTGCAGAGGATAAAAAAATATGTTGAAGATGTAAACAGCAGGGCATCCTTTCTGGTAATGCTTGGTTTCCTTGAATGTGAGGTTCCTGTTTTTAACAAAGCCTACATTCCCCTCAGAAAGCAATCACTTGTAAATGAAGATTGCAGCCGTCATATTAACCTTTGAGTGATGCAGCTGCAGCTTTGCTGTGTCTCTGGATCTGCAAGCGCATGAATACAATTCATTCATCACCAGAAGAGCGGGCTGGACTTTGGCAGCATGTCTCTCGGTTTCTTGTCCTGTTTTTGCACTTTGTTGCGGTCTCCATCTCATTTCAGTCCTTTAGTTAAAACCTTAATAGCAGTTTTCACACTGGGTCTTTAATCCAAACCAAATATTAAAGTAGTGACCTGTAAATGAGGAATGTATTTGCATTCTAAAATCTGGTCTATGTTGTTGGAGTGAAAACTGCTGCCCTCTATAGTTTAAGCTGCATTCTGATTGTTTTTCTTAACCCTCTGATGTAAAAAGTGTGTCTTACATTGGTCTTTCCCCTCCTGTGTCCTTTCTTTTCCCCTCTGTTTTCCTCTCTTCCTTTTTGATGTTTGGTTCTTCCATTTTATGTGTTTACTCCCTCCACCCTATATCCTGGGCTTCCCCTCCTTCTGTCTGTCTCTCTCTTTCTTGTTGGTGGCTCAGACCTCAAAGACATTCAGAACAATAAGAATAGATACTTGATAGCTTCAGAGAACCAACGCCCTGGCCATTTCTCCACAGCCCCTATTGGTTCGCTGACAGCCTCTCCATCCTCTGGCGCACTGTGCAACCAGGGGGGTCTTCAATCAGTCACCAGTATCCAGGAACGCATCATGTCTACGCCTGGAGGAGAGGAGGCCATTGAAAGGCTCAAGGTAATTATAGTAACAACTGTGGTCCCAGGCAATATGTAGGTATCCCATCTCCCACTTGGTTCTCCCTCTGACTGAAAGGGGGAGGTTTCCGAAGATGCTTGACTAATTTTAAATGAAAATGAAATTTGAGTTTTAATACCACAAGCACTGAATTAAAAAAAAAATCATGCATTTACCAGAGGTTTAATTTCTATACTTACTAGAAGTATAATTGTAACCTCCACTCTGATAAAACTCTGCGTGTGTCCTCAGCACTTCATATTGCTCCTCTACAGCTCTCGCTCAGTAGATAAGGCAACAACATAGGGCTCCAAGAGCTGCAGTTCCCATGACAACCATGGTTCCCAATCCGTCCGTCATCCCAGTGACGTCAAGTGGCGACGCAAATACAGAGGAAATGAGACAAAAATAGATTGAACTCTTATGGGCTTGTAGCGATCACAGTGAGGCGAATCATGTGTACTTATTTTAAAGGAAGCATCATAAAGTTTGACTTATAAATAGAACTCCAGCCTAACCTGTTGTTATACTCTATGCCTGTGGTCTGCTTCATTAAATATTAAACACGTTTCATTGATAAGCTAAATATCTGCTGTAAAATGAAACGGCCTCCTTTGCCGTAAGAGTTCAAAGTTCTAGTATTTTAATAGTTCTTTCTGTTTAATATTGAAGAAATTTTATCTCAGCCTAAACAATTCAAAGATTTTTCTCTTTAGTATAGAGGAATAGAAGCAAAGACGTTGGCCTGACCGAAATACAACTAAATAATTTTTTTTAACGTTTCCCGTTTTGTATTCAGGAGTCAGAAAAGATCATTGCTGAGCTCAATGAAACCTGGGAGGAGAAACTACGGAAGACAGAAGCAATCCGAATGGAGAGGTCAGTATAATCAGATGGCTTTTTCTCATTTCCATATGCGTCTGCTAGAAGGGGGGGGTTGCTCGTCCTCTATGTGCATCCACCCCATCACAAGCTAATTGGGATTTATAGTCTGTCCATGCTGCTCTTCGGAGAATGGTTTGACGGCTCTGGAAAGCTGCTCCCACACCTTTTCTGACGTCAAAAGATGGGAGGCTGTGTGCTTGACTTTCCCAAACACACAATCCAGTGTTTAAACCCACCTCCTGCTGGTGTTCTTATGTGGATGTGACAGCTGTTGTTTTTCTCACTTGTAACGCTTTTTTTTTTTTGCTTTCATCTGTTACTCTATTATTTGAAATACAGAGTTTTTCTGATGTTGTTGTTATTTGTAGTGTGTGTAAAGCTAAATGCAGTTCTCTTGGTGTCTCCCTGGAGAGCCTGCAGCAAAATGCCCTATTTGTAAATGACGTGTCTCCCACCTGCTTGACTGTTGATTTTTCTCTTTAGTGCTTGTTATCTGAGACTGTAACCTGTTAGGCTTGCCACTGTCTCCTCACTCCTCTTTACTGTTTTTTTTTTTTTTTTTGCTTTCCCCTGCACCAATTCTGTCCATTTTCCTTGCCTTGGTCGTCTCACACTGCTGCTCTAACACTCTTGCTGTACCTTTTTGCTCTTTATCCACTCATCTGTGGCTGCAGTCATGCTGCTGTCTCTCCTCTGAGTCAGAAAAACAATCCCTTACTTCCAGTATTACTGTTAGTCCACCTCCTATAGTTTTCATTCCAGATTTTTGTTGTGAAATTCAAGCAAATGCTTCTTTTGCAAAGGTGTAGGGGAGAACAAATATAAAACATTGTTTGGAAAGCCTTTAAAGTGTGCAGTGCTATTCCTCATTATGCATGTGTTTTGTCCTCATCACAGGGAGGCTCTGCTTGCAGAGATGGGCGTGGCAATCCGTGAAGATGGAGGCACTTTGGGGGTGTTCTCTCCTAAAAAGGTAGAAGAAGTCTCAGAATAATAGGAGAGGGTTACACAAGTTTTGGACACTGATAGACGGACAAATGTGTCATAACTCTCATGGGCGTGGATATTTGCCCGTCTTTCATTACTTCTGTTTTCCATCTTATCTTTTTTCCCCCAAGAGATCCCTCCCCTTACCATTGGCTCTTCTCTCACAATCCCATTTGTCATTATGTCATTCTTTCCACTTTGTTTTTTCTTCACCCTCTCAGCTTAGCCATGATGGTCCATTAGATGAGCAATTTGATTGCTTTTCTACCAAGAAGGTTTGTTTAGTTTATGAATAGATCAAGCCTCTTTCCTCCACTAGATTAGTTCCTACAACTACTGGTTGATTAGTAGTAATATAGTATCTAAGCTAGTTTAATACTGTATTTCTTGGCTTCCAAACACTTGTTTTTAGTAAGTAGCCAAGGTGGTTTATTACCTAAAATGCTGCTCTCTTCCACACTGATGATTCAGACCAATTGCCGCCAAAGTGTTACTCTAACTGGACTTTCCCTTTTTGTTTTTTACTGTATTTTCCTTTTGAAAGTAGTAGTGACATAGTGTGGCATATTTATTAGGTTTATATTTGCTTTTTAGGAAAGTCGGCATTAATTCAAAATTTTTATTTTCTGACAGCTTAGGATTTATAAGAACCCACCCCCACCATTGTTTTAGAGAAATGTTAGTCCCCAATGGCAATGGCTTTACATTTTTTCTGCCTTTTTTTAAATTGTCTTCATATCTATTTTCTTTATTGACATCTATCTGTTCTTTCACTGTCTTCTTTTCTGCGGGGTAGCATTTCAGAGAGAGGCCTTGTGATCTCTATACAGACTTTAATGGGGTGTTTTCCCCTAAAAAGGTTGGTTTGGATTTGTAGCCCATAGGAACCCCTAAAGTCCATTTGTAATTAATCAAATACTTTAGAAAACCACTTCTTTGTTTTTGTGTCATCTGTCAGAGCCGCATCCTTGTCTAATTCAGAAGGTCTCCCTAAAGCTTGTGAAAGGTTTTTGTGTTTATTAATTTTCTGTTCATCTGCAGACTCCACATTTGGTCAACCTGAACGAGGACCCTCTAATGTCTGAGTGTCTGCTCTACTATATCAAAGATGGGATTACAAGGTAACCAAACCTAGATGTTGTAGAGATTTTGGACAGGTTCTGTTTCATTTTTCTGAGTTTTATGTCTAGCGAGGGAAATTGGAAGAATATGAGGCCTAAAATCTGGCAGTGACTGCATTTTTTTTCTATCTTGTGTTACCATTTTGTCCTTGTCTTTTTAGTAGACTGTTCATATTGAAGTATTGGGTTCAATTTTACCCCTGCTAGTGGACAACCATTGAGTACATTGAACTTAGATCTAACCTCTCTTAAGTAATGTTTCCACTTTTATTTTTTACATAGATTACATGTTTAAACTGTTGGCAGTGAAATGGCAGAGCTAGGCTTTCAAAATGGACTGTCTTTTTCAGAGTGGGTCAGGCCGATGCTGAGCGAAGGCAAGACATTGTTTTAAGTGGAGCTCACATAAAGGAAGAACACTGCATTTTTCGAAGCGAAAGGAATGCCAACGGAGATGGTGGGACATTTTTATTTATATGTTGTTAAATACGTTTGTATTTATTACCGTGAAGGTTTAGACTGATTATAGAGATGGAAATATTTAAGTGCTTAAGCTCCATGATTTTTTTTTTCTCAACCAAATATTTAAAATGTAACATTGAGGAGGTGGAAAACACAACATGCAAAATAATAAATTGAAGTTTTGAAGGATCAGATCTGTTCCTAAAATAAATACAAAATCTACTGAATGTGATTTGATGGTGAAAGTAACTGTTTCATGGATAAAGGTTGGAAACAATAGGCTATAATTGGCTATAATGATTTCATTTAACCATTCTTCTATATGAGCTTGTTTTATTTTTTGTTGTTTTATTTTTCCTCTTAGTTTGAATCTGAAAAGTATTTGGTTTTCTGTTTGTAAAGTTATTGTCCTGTTGGTGCCATGCGAGGGATCTGAAACCTATGTCAACGGCAAACGTGTTGAGGAAGCAATCCAGCTTCGTTCAGGTACTTATTGATTGCTTTTATTGTTGAGAAAATTAGAGATTAAAATTGCTTTATTTTTTTAATCATTATAAATAAGGATCGACTGAGTTGAGTCCTTATACTTACAAATACAATTTTTCGGTTTATCAAGTATTGTACCAGACAGAGCATAATATGGACAATGCCTCCAATTCCATGTTTTGTTTTGCTTTTCCCTGAAACACTTGTGCTTCACCTATCTTTAGGCAACCGCATCATAATGGGAAAGAACCACGTGTTCCGATTCAACCACCCAGAGCAGGCCCGAGCTGAACGGGAGAAAACTCCATCAGCTGAAACCCCCGTAGAGCCTGTGGACTGGACGTTTGCCCAGCGAGAACTTCTGGAGAAACAGGGCATCGACATGAAGCAGGAAATGGAGAAAAGGTATTGGAGCTGGTCTCCATTTACTGTTTGGATGGATTTGATCTTTGTGTGATTTTTATTTATTTTTTCGGTTATAAATTGTCAAATGAATCATATATTTTATGCATTAATTAAGGCTCACTGAGATGGAAATCTTGTACAAAAAGGAGAAGGAAGAAGCAGACCAGCTTCTGGAGCAGCAGCGACTGGTGAGTTTACATCAGTTTGTCACCCTTATAGAGACTAAATAGTACATATTTGGGTTAAGAGGAGAGATGTTCTGTTTTTTTTGTCTTAGTTTGTTAAAATTAAGCGCAGCTTCTAGATAAATTGTTTTTTTGTGTTATTGTTGAGGGAAATGTATTTTCACATAGAAAACTCAAAACCAGGGTTTTGTAAGATTAGTTGCAGTAGGAAATGTCCCAGAAAATAAAGGTTAAAATTGGCATCTGAATTAAACTAATTGTCACTCTGAGCTCTGATACTTATGAATCACGTTTCTACTCCTGGTGCATGTTGTTTCTTCTTGCATGGAAGTTTTCTGGTTCGAGACAGATGAGCTCTTTACTTGTCTTTGTTTCTGGGTTTAACTGAATTTTATTCTATAGAAAGTAAATTAAGACTCAGAAATTTCCACTCCTTTTCCCTCCCTTTCTTATGTTTCCAATAGTGGATCTGAATCTTGCAAAACAGCAACTTGAAGATAAATCAGATTGGCTGTAGAAATGAAAAAATAGTTGGTGCTAAAACCATCTTTTAAGAAAAAGATGCTGCTTTTGCATGGTTCATGTTATTAGCATGTTTTCTTAACTCCTACTGGTTCTGGACTAAGTTGCAGTGTTTGCCGCTGAGCTGTTCAACCCTCTCGAGTGGCTGTGGATTTGCTTGGATTAGATTTCTCTTCTAGTTTTCTCGCTCTGGTTTTTTTGTTCTGAGTTTCAACTCTTCAATGCAGTTGCTGACGTATCCAATGCATTGTGATAACAAAAATATTCCCACTGTAGTTTTTATTTTTTTGAACAGATAGTGACAATGTGGTTTCTCATTGACTTCTTTGGCTGCCTCTCTTTGTTTGCATAGAGCATTGAGGGTACGGCTTCACAGAGTTCTCACTGCTCATAATTCAATCCGTGATACTAAGACTTTTCTATTATTCCGGTGTGTTTATATGCAAAACGTCAAGAATTCAAGTTTCATACAAGCAGGGATATAACATATCCATTTCTGGCTCCAGATATTAGCTCATACACAAAAACTGACCATCAGTGCTGACTGGTTGTGATCTGTAATGTTTGCTGTCCACAAAAATGAGAAACTGCATTTTATTCTTCCAACTAACTTTTTTGTAGTGGATTAACACCTGCCCTCTCTTCTGTTCGTCTTCTCAACTGACTTTCTGAGCAACTGCAAAAACACTCTTTCTTCTAACTCACCGCTACTAAAGCCACTCAAACCTTCTGGACTAAGGCTCTAAAAGTCCACCTACATGCATGCCGCTGTCGCATGTTTGGGATCCAGCTGTCAAATCGTAAAACTTTCTATTCAGAAGAGGAATACAGAAAACATTAGAGAAAGTACTCCAGCCAGCAACTATCATCTGTTATTTCCTTTCTAATCATTATAGACATGCTTTTACTTTTATTATTAATATGCAACAATGAGGAACACAGTTGTCTTCCTGGGAGAAGTTAGTTTAAAGAGCATAATTCCTAGTAATGTAGCCGTTTAGCTGTAAAAGCTAAGGGGATAAACTCAGAAGAATGTCAATGAAGCCACTGTTACATTTAAATTTCTTTTCCGTCTTTGTTTTGAGTGAAATTCCTGAGATGATTTTGCATGGTGACATACATCGTTTACAGTTCCGATGTATGCAACCTAGGGATGTCCTGATCTGGGTTTGTTGTTGTTTTTAGGCATTTGCTAAGTTACAGTCTGCTACTTCTCAGCTGTGATGAAACACAGTAAAATACAACTAAATGTCTGTTATTTATTCCAATGTACTTTCTGGAGTTCTGGTAGCAACAGTATCTGTTTTTTGACTAGTTTTATTTCATAGATACCTACTTTTAAGTAGGTATGTGAATAAGTATGTATTCATATGTAAATATGTGAATCTTAATCCTGTGAATAAGGATTTGGTGTAAAGAAGTTTGTTAATTTGCTTTTAGATCATTTAGCTTTTAGAAACATTTTCTTAACTTAGTGATTTGCTTTGGACAATTTTTGCTAAGCTCTGCCTGATACAAGCTGTATGTAACCAGAGCATGTAGTGCAGAACTGGTTAGGGTTGGGGAAAGAAAAAAAAAACCAGATAGTTTATAAAGCTTTAGATTCACTAAATGTGACCTACAACCCAGGGTTTAAGTGATTCACAGTGTGAGTAGGGGTCAGTCAGGCGAAAAATATTGATCTTTTAAAACCTAAATCTAATACTTGGTTTGGATCAGGACATCCTTAATGCCAGATGTTTACAATATAATTTTTTATGGGACAAAAAAAGTCCTTGAAATCCAGGATAATTCTCTTAATTAGACTCTGACTCATATCTTGTGTAGGTGTAGGTTCTCGTGTTGCATATTAATACCTTTTTTAGTCATTCTTTTTTTTTTTTTTTTCTTTTTTTTGAACCATTCTTTCATCTTCTCCCTTATTTCCTGTTGTAATTTCTCCTTTTTTTGGGAACCATTTTGGTTTTTGTCCTTTTGTTGTTTTCTCAAGGATGGAGACTCTGATAGTGGGGATGACTCAGATAAGAGGTCTTGTGAAGAGAGCTGGAGGCTGATCACTTCCCTGAGGGAAAAGCTACCACCCAGCAAGCTGCAAACCATAGTGAAAAAGTGTGGATTGCCTAGCAGTGGGAAAAAAAGGGAGCCAGTTAAAATGTACCAGATCCCCCAGAGAAGGCGCATCACTAAGGACTCCAAGTGGGTGACCATCTCTGACTTGAAGATCCAAGCAGTGAAAGAAATCTGTTATGAAGTAGCGCTGAATGATTTCCGCCACACGCGGCAGGAGATTGAGGCTCTGGCTATCGTGAAGATGAAGGAGCTTTGTGCCAGTTACTGCAAGAAGGACCCCAACGAGCGGGACTCGTGGAGGGCCGTGGCTCGGGATGTTTGGGACACTGTGGGGGTCGGTGATGAGCGCATCGAGGACGTCATCACTAACCTGCCCCGACCTGGAGGGGTAGTGATGGATGAACTAAAGGTGCACATTGATAAACTCGAGGACATCCTGCAGGAGGTGAAGAAGCAGAATAATATGAAGGATGAGGAGATCCGTGCTCTCAGAAATAAAATGGTGAAAATGGAAAAGGTTCTACCTCTCATCACTCCGGAGGGCCAAGAAAAACCTCCCGGTGCAGAAGCTCCCACTGCCGTGGCTAGGACACCAAGCCCTCGGGAAGGGAGACCCCCTGTGCAAGAAAAGCCGGAGGAAGAGGATGTTGATTTACAAAAAACCCAAACTGCAGTAGATGACTCCACCTTAAAGCGAGGTCAGATGCGCTGGATGCGCCAAGAGCAGTTACGCCTCAAAAGCCTTCAGCAGCAGGAGATCTCCAAGCAGCTCCGCCGGCATCCCGGGCCACACCGCTTTATACCTCCAGAGGACCGTAAGCTGCGCTTCCCCTTTAAAAGTAACCCCAAGCACCGCAACTCTTGGAGCCCAGGAACTCATATCATCATTACAGACGAGCAAGTCATTGAGCTAAAGGTGCCCAAAGAAGCTGTACAGGAAGAAGAAGGAGAGGGCCCCACTGAAGAAGCGGTGGAGCCCAGAGACAAGATGGCTGCCTCAGTTGTCCACATCACCCCTCCTCTGCCGAGCACATCAGTTCAGCGTAGAAGAGACTCAGAGCAAGGTTTAATCCAGGGTCATAGACATAACTACAGGAACCAGCAGCAGCCACAGGAACGGGGGCGCAGCAACTCTTTTAACCATCGCCAGCGGCCCTCCGGGTCCATGGAGTCTCTGCAGCCGCCTGAAAATAATAGGAGGCACACTCAGGCTTTCTACCAGCAGACCCCCCCACCACACTATCAGCACCCTCCGTGCCACTACAATGGCATGATGTACACAGACGGCGGCGGCTACCAGCAGTACCACCATGCTAACCCTCCCTACAGCTTTCAGCCGCCTCCACGAATGCGCAGGCAAATGTCCGCCCCCAACCTAAAAGCCAGCAGAGAGACGGCGGTCTGACTAACAGAGGGACAGAACTAGTTCCATACACATTTACTCTGCAAACTATTACAGATCACAACAGCAAAACTGACTGGGACTGTTCCACTTGATCCATGTGTTACTGGTTGATCCAAGTATTTAAAATGTTAAAAAATAATATTTTTTCCCTCATCTTCATGATCATCTTATTCCTCGTTTTTTGTCAGTGTTTGCTGCACTGTGTGTGTGTGTGGGTCATCTTCAGTAACACTGATAGTCTCTAGGATTTAAAGCCAACAGATGGGGACGGTATTTTCACTGGAGAGCAACGCTATGCTTTCAGCTTGTACGATAATTCACGAATCATGCTTCAATTTGCCAACATTAACTATTTCTGAGTTTACACTATTACCAATTGAGTATTGATTTATTGTTTCTAACTTCAGCACTGACATGTAGCCCAGGAAGAAAAACAGAAAACATAATTTGACTGATGGAGAGAATAAGCCCTCAGTGCAACGCTATATATTTCCTTGTAATGCATATTTAGCAAACAAACATCTTTTTTTTTTTTTTTGTATAACTTGAAGCACTGGTTCCAAGGTGCACCTTTTTAAACTGAGACTGAAATTATGTTTAAGGTTTGTGGTATTCAAAAAGTGCCTAACTTTATTAACCTTGCTTTAGCAATTCAGTATTTTTGTCTTATTCCTTTTTTTTTTTCATTATGCAGGCAGGGCTTTTTGCATTTTATTTTTTTGTAATTTCACAAAACACCAAAAAACAAAACAAAAAAACAATTATTATTTTTTTTGTATTGACAAACTGATTGATTCAATTCTTTTGCAAGCCTCTAAGAACAGCTGTGATTTTTATGTTTTCCTGTTCTTTATTTCATGTGACTGCCACCAGGTTTAATCCAGTTTAATGCAATCTAAGTAAGTAGTGTAATTAACCAGGGAGCACAATCATTAGTATTTCAAAGCTATAACCTTATTTTACACATATTTTTTACCCCCTTATCTGAGATTTTTTAAATCTTCGA